AACAGAAGCAAACGTGAACTACTGGGACTTCATCAAGATAAAAAGCTTCTGCACAGTGAAGGAAGTAATCAACAAAATTAAAAGGCAGCCTAACAGAATGTGAGAAGATATTTGCAAATGACATATCTGATAATGGGTTAGTACCCAAAATCTATAAAGAATTTTTCAAACTCAGCACCCAGAAAACAAACAACTTAGTTAAGAAATGGGCAGAAGAATGAATAGACACTTTTCCAAAGAAGACATCCTGATGGCTAACAGATGCGTGAAAAGATGCTCAACATCACTCATGTTCAGGGAAATACAAATCAAAACCATGATGAGATATAACCTCACATCTGTCAGAATGGCTAAAATTACCAACACAAGAAACAACAGGTGTTGGCAAGGATACAGAGAAAGGGGAGCCCTCTTGCACTGTTGGTGGGAATGCAAACTGGTGCAGCTACTTTGGAGAACAGTATGGAGGTTCTTCATGAAACTAAAAAATAGAACTGCCCTACAATCTAGCAATTGAATATTTGGTATTTACCCAAAGGATACAAAAATAAAGATTCGAAAGGGTACATGCATCCCAGTGTTTATAGCAGCATTATCAACAATAGCCAAACTGTGGAAAGAGCCCAAATGTACGTTGACTGATGAATGGATAGGGAAGATGGAGTGTGTTTCATCAAGAGAATGAAATCTTGCTATTTGAAATGATGTGGATGGAGCTAGAATGTATTATGCTAAGCGAAATAAGTTAATTAGAGAAAGACAAATACCATATGATTTCATTCATGTGGAACTTAAGAAACGAAACATGAACACATGGGAAGTGGTGGGAAAAAGAGAAGAGAGGGAAACAAACCACAGAGAATCTTAGCGATAGAAACAAACTTAGGGTTGTTGGAGGGAAGTGGGTGGGAGATGTGCTTGATGGGTGATGGGTGTTAAAAGAGAGCCCTTGTTGTGATGAGCACTGGGTGTTGTATGTGAGTGATAAATCACTGAATTCTCCTGAAACCAATATTGCATTGTATGTTAACTAAAATTTAAATTAAAAACATGAAAAGTAGGTTTACATATTTTTAATAATTTTTTAAAAAGTTTTATTAGAGAGAGTGTGTGCACACAAGCAGGGGAGGGGCAGAGAGAGAGGAGAGAGAGAATTCCAAGCAGACTTCATGCTGTCCGTGCAGAGGCAGACATGGGGCTCGACCTCATGAATTGTGAGATCATTGCCTGAGCTGAGATCAAGAGTCAGATGCTTAACTGACTGAGCCACACAGGCGCCCCTAAACATTTTTAAATTAATGGAATGACAATGTTCATTGTAAACAAGTTTAATCAACACAGCCGAGTATGAATAAAAAGAACCCTGTATTATAGAGTCATGAAAGCTCATTTATCTTTTTGTTGTATAAATTCTTTCAGTAAACTTTGGGGTTCAAGTTGGGTCAAATTGTGGACCTTTGTTTCAATTTAATTTTTTTTTCCTCCTAAGAGCTTCAAGTCAGTATTGTCAGGGCTAGGAGCCTCCCTCATGGCACTGGTTGCTTTATAGGATTTAAGGACCCTGGTGTACACTGGCCTTGAATTAACCCCTTTGCTGTGCCCACTGTTGCCGTGGATGTTTTCTCTACAGACTTGGGGATCAGGATCTTTGTTGTGACAGAGGCATGGACAATGGAGTGATGGGTGCAGTGGACCAGTACAGGGCCCACAACCCAGAGGGTAATGCTTTGAAACCATTCTCTGCTTTAACCTTGCCTTTTCTTTCTGTGCTAGCCTTTGATTCTCTGTCTTTGTCTCTCTTTCCTCCCCTTCTCCCTTCCCTCTCTCCCTCTCCAAATTTTCTCAGTATTCTGGCATTTTCTGTTTTGTGCAGTAACTCATAGTGATCATCTTCTGAGTTGTTACAGGAAAGATTTGGGGTTCTGGTGACCTGCCTCTTCCTCTACAGAATGCCAGTCAGTCTCCAGGAGGTTGGGGTCTAGATATCTAGTAAGGTTATTTGTGTCTAGTGAGGAGCAAATGGGATGACACATGCGAGCTGGGGCCAAGTCCTCCATGTAGATGCTGGTGTTCCTCTGTCATATAGCAGGTTGGAGGTGGGCTTCTGAGCTTTCACTGATGGCAGAACTGAAGGTTAGAGATGTTGACTGATCTTATGCCTAACTGCTTGTAAAAGATTGAATTTGGAGAATCAGGTTTTCATTCCAGGACACTTCTCTCACACTTGTGCAAAAACCCCCAAATTTTGCAAACCCCTGTTCTTAATTAAAAAACTCAGTAACAATTCTTTCATTATTTAGTTTTTAGCAAAAAGACAGTAACTTGTTAAAAACACAAGTGCCATAGTTATTTGGCCTCTCCTCTCACTTGTCTTACTTTAAAAAAAAAAGTTTTATTCTGTGTGGCCTTAGTTTGTTACATTAAGAGAGGTTGTGGTATCTAAAACACTACCATTGTTACTTGAAAAACAAATAATCCAGTGAAGAAATGGGCAGAAGACATGAATAGACACTTTTCCAAAGAAGACATCCAGATGGCCAGAGACACATGAAAAGATGCTCAGTGTCACTCATCATCAGGGAAATACAAATCAAAACCACACCGAGATACCACCTCACACTGGTCAGAGTCGCTAAAATGAACAACTCAAGAAACAACAGATACTGGTGAGGATGTGGAGAAATGGGAACCTTCTTGCACTGTTTGTGGGAATGCAAACTGGTGCAGCCGCTCTGGAAAACAGTATGGAGGTTCCTCAAAAAATTAAAAATAGAACTACCCTACAACCCAGCAATAGCACTACTAGGAATTTATCAAAGGATACAGGAGTACTGATTCATAGGGGCACATGTACCCCAATGTTTATAGCAGTGCTTTCAACAATAGCCAAATTATGGAAAAAGCCTAAATGCCTATCAACTGATGAATGGATAAAGAAGATGTGGTTAGTATATACAATGGAATACTACTTGGCAATGAGAAAGAATGAAATCATGCCATTTGCAGCAGTGTGGATGGAACTGGAAGGTATTATGCTGAGTGAAATAAGTCAGTCAGAGAAAGACAGATATCATGTTTCACTCATGTGAATCTTAAGAAACTGAACAGAAGACCATGGGGGAAGGGAAGAGGAAAAAACAGTTACAGAGAGGGAGGGAGGCAAACCATAAGAGACTCTTAAATACAGAGAACAAACTGAGGTTTGATGACGGGGTGGAGGAGAGGGAAAGATGGCTGATGGGCATTGAGGAGGGCCCTTGTTGGGATGAGCACTGGGTGTTGTATGTAAGCGATGAGCCATGGGAATCTACCCCCCAAACCAAGAACACACTGTACATACTGTATGTTAGCCAATTTGACAATAAATTGTATTAAAAAAAAACCAAAAAAATCTACCATGTTGTTTGGTCAGTTGCATTTACACTGAGTTAGTAAAATTATATCTTCTGTGCTAGTGATCCTTAATACTGGCTGAATATTAGAAATACTTAGCAACTTAAAAAAGGTAGTGCCCAGGTCCTGTCCCAGAGCAACTCAACCAGAATCTCAGGTGACAGAACTCAGGCGTGGTATCAAAGATATGTGTGCGCATGTGTATAGAAGTGTGTATATGCATACCCCTCACCCAGTGCTTCTGAGGGCTGAGAACCTCATTCCAGGTCTTTTTCTATGACTTAAGCAAACATTAGTGCTTAATTTAGAGATGCTATGTGATTTTATATTTGCAATGTATAAAAATGTACATATTTCAAAAAACATCTGTCTACCCTTTGGCCACCTGTGCCTCTAGCCCCACATTTCCACTGACACTTCACGTTACTTAATTATCCAACAGATCATTGAAGGCTTACTTCTTGGCATGCATTGTTCTAGGTACTTGGGATAACCAAGTACCAGATGAAGAGGGGGAAAAAATCCTGTCTTGGAGCTTATATTTTAGTTTACGAATGATTGCCAATTTGGTGAATGTAATGTAGTATTTTATTGTTTTACTTTATATTTTTATAAACATGAGTTTGAGTAACTCTTCATAGCATTAGTCGTTTGGGATTTCTCCTGTTTGATATCTGATAATTTTCTTACAGAATATGGGAGTTTCTTGAGTACTTGTCACTTGTTGGTTTTAGTTATTTTTAGATACTCCTGTTTGTAATATGATATCTCTTTCACAGATTTATATGTGTATTTCTAATTATGTAGAAAATAATTCATTTAGTATTGGCCTTCTAGGATAGGACATGTTTATACTTCAAGGTTTAGGTGAGCTGTGTCTTTATTTGCTCTGTAAGGAGTTTCATGACATTTGTTCTTGACTGAAACCTAAATTGTCAGTGGTCTAAAGTCATGGTTTTCAACTTTTGGGTCCCAAAACTCCTGAATTATACTCTGTCAATGGTGGTGGTCCTGTGTAGCAGTGGTTCTCGGTGGAGTAGGGCAATATATAGAGTTAAAAATGATTTTTGAATCATGCTCCCATTACACATCCTCCCTTCTTTTGGACGCACTTGGGGGTCACTGGATAAAAGCAGTTCACATGAAATTCAATTAGGTGATATCAAAGCTAAGTTTCTGGGGGGCACCTGGCTGGCTCAGTGGGTAGAACACATGACTGTTGATCTTGGGGTCATGAGTTTGAGCCCCAAGTTGGGTGTTGAGATTATTTAAGGAAATTAAAAAAAAAAAGACTAAGTTTCTTAGTTGTGAAATGTAGTAAGGAATTGATGGAATATTTTAGAAGACATGCTTCAAAGAAGAGTTTGAATGATATATTGATTTCTTTATTAAAAGGTTACTGGGCCATTCATTACTTCATAAATCACACTGTACCTTTTATGGTGATGATTCATATAATTTTCTTTTAATCCTCAAATTTTCAGCTAATGTTGAGTATTGTAATGAACTTTCCATTTTTGGGAGGGACATTTGCAAAGAGACTGACAAGTGGATGCTACATTTTGAAAAGGAATTTATAGATATTTTTTTGATTTTTAATTTTTTAGATGATGGAGTTGATACTCAAAGTGGAACAAAGAAAGAAGATCTGAATGACAAAGAGAAAAGAGATGAAGAAGAAACTCCTGCACCTGCATGTAGGGCCAGATCAATCCTAGAGAGCTGGGTATGGGGCAAACAACCAGGTATGTATTCTGAACTTCTGAGATTCTGGTACTTTGGAAAGTATCAGATGGACCAGATGGACATTTGTTTTTTGGTAGTGGAATTCTTTTTTTAAAATTTATTTTAGAGAGAGAGTGTGAGGGAGAGGAGCAGAGGGGAAGCGAGAGAGAATCTTAAGCTGGTTTCATGCTCAGCACACAGCCCAGCGTGGGGCTTGAACCCATGACCCTGGGATCATGGCCTGAGTCGGAATCAAGAGTTGGATGCTAAGCCGACTGAGCCATCCAGATGTCACAGTTATGGAATTCTTTAAAAAATTTTTTTTAATGTTTCTTTATTTTTGAGAGAGAGAGAGACAGGGCGCAAGTGGGAAAGGGGAAGAAAGAGAGGGAGACACAGAATCTGAAGCAGGCTCCGGGCTCTGAGCTGTTAGCACAGAGCCCGATATGGGGCTTGAACTCATGGACTGCAAGATCATGACCTGAACCAAAGTCAGACACTTAACTGACTGAGCCACTCAGACACCCCCAGTTATGGAACTCTTAAAAATTTAACTTAAAAATTTTTTTATATTCTGGTAAATTCTACATAACATACAATTGACTGGTTCAACCACTTTTAAGTATACAATTCAGTGACATTAAACATATTCACAATGTTTTGTAATCATCACCACCATCCATTTACAGAACCTTTTCATATTCCCAAACTGAAGGAAACTTTATACTTATTAAATGGTAACTCATGTTTCTTCCCTACCCTCAGCCCCTGGAAACACAATTCTACTTTCTGTCTTTAGGATTTTGACTAGTTGGTTACCTTGTGTAAGTGGAATCATAAAGTATTTGTCCTTTTATGTCTGGCTTATTTCATTATTTAGCATAATGTCTTCAAGGTTCATCTATGTTGTAGTATGTGTGAGAATTTCCTTCCTTTTAAAGGTTGAATAATAGTCCATTATGTGTATAGATCACATTTTGTTTATCCTTTCATCCATGGATGGGCATGTATGTTGCTGCTATCTTTTAGCTGTTGTGAATAATGCTGCTATGAGTGTAAGTATACATAAGTTCTGCTTTCAGTTATTTGTGTATATACCCAGGAATGGAATTGCTGCATCATGTAGTAATTCTGTGTTTAATTTTTTGAGGACCTGGCAAACTTTTCCACAGTGGCTACACCATTTCATTTCCAGCAGCGTATGAGTGATCCTGTTTCTCTGTGTCCTCACCATCATTTGGTGTTGTCACTTTTTTTTTTATTATTAGGTGTGTGGTGTGGTATCTCATTATGGTTTTAACTTGCAGAATCCTGTGGCTGTTTACCATCTGTGTATCTTCTTCAGTAGAATACCTATTCATGTTAGATTTTTCTTTTTCTTTCTATCATGGTGTTTTTACACTTCTGTATATATTCCAGATACTAGTCCTTTGTCTTATATATGGTTTGCAAATAATTTCTCTCAGTTCATAGCTTATCTTTTCACCCTCTCAACAGTGTCTTTAGCGCAGCAAAAGTTTCAAAATTTTGATAAAGTTCAGTATAGATTTTGCTTTCTTTTTCTTCCTCCTCCTCCTCTTCCTTCTCTTCTTTGCCTAGACCTTGAGCCTGAAGATTTTCCTCTGTTTTTTCTCTAAAAGTTTTGTAGTTTTATGTTTTTCATGTATGCTCCTGTTTCATTTGAGTTAAATTTTGTGTGCAATGTGAGGTTTAAGTCAAGTGGTTTTTTTTTTATTTTTTATTTTATTATTATTATTTTGCTTATAAATAATTGCTCCACCATTTTTTGAAAAGGCTACCTTTTTTCCATTGAATTGGTTTTGCACGTTTGTCAAGAATTATTTGGGTATCCTTGTGTGGTCTATTTCTGGTTTCTCTATTCTGTTCTAATCCACATGTGTATCTCTCTGCCCACAGCATGCTCTTCATTACTATAACTAAGAGTAAGTTTTGAAATCAGATAGACTGGTTCTTCCCACTTTATTATTATTTTTTCATATTGTTCTAGCTGTTCTGGTTCCTTTGCCTTTCCTTACAAATTGTTAGATAACTTTTGGATAATTTAATATCCATGTGTTCATTGCTAGTGGATAATTTAATATCCATGTATTCATTGCTAGTGTATAGAAATACAATTTATTTCTATATGTTTATCTTGTATCCTGCAACCTTATTACTCTAGGAGGCTTTCTTGAATTTTCTATGTAGACAATCAGTTTTATTTCTCCCTTTCCAATCTATGTGTTTTCTATTACATTTTTTTGCCTTATTGTTCTGGCTAGAACTTCTTTACTATGTTTTATAAAAGTGGTGAGAGCAGCCTTACTTTATTCCTGATCTTAAGGGGAAAACATTTAGTCTTTTCATTGTTAACTATAATGTTAGCATAAGTTTTATAGATGCTTTTTATAAAGGTGAAGAAGTTCCTGTCTATTCCAGTTTCCTGAGAGTTTTTATTGTGAATGAGTGTCGAATTTTATCCAATGCTTTTTCTACATTGCTTGATTTGTCATGTGATTTTTCCCCCGTTTAGTTTGTTAATATGAAGGATCTGATTTTTGACTATTGAACCAGCTTTGCATTCTTGGAATAAACACCACTTGGTGATGATGTTCTTTTTATTAATTCTAGAATTAAGTTAATTTTACTTACTAATATTTTGTTAAAGATTTTTGTGCCCAAATTCACGAGAACAATATTCTGTAATTTTTTTTTTTGGTACTGTTTTGGGTTTTGATATCATGCTAATACTAGCTTCTTAAAATGTATTGGGAGTATTCCCTTTTCTGTATTACAGAAGAGCTTGTTTAGAATCTGTCAATTATGTTTTAATATTTGGTAACATTCTTTAGTGAAGCAATTTGAATCTTGTGATTTCCTTTTTGAGATTCTTAAATTATGAATTCAGTTTTCTTAATAGTTGTATGGCAGTTTCTTTTTCTTTTTAAAAAATTTTTTAATTTTTAATTTTAATTTAATTTAATTTTTTATTATTTTTTTAATGTTTATTTATTTTTGAGAGGCAGAGAGAGACAG